TGGCCCATAAATGCCAACCTGTGGTTCACATCTGGCCCCGGAGCCACTTATTTGCGAGCCTTTTTTCTGTCACTTTTTTTGTGTCTTTTGGTCTTGTTTGCACCGGCTGTCATCTCCACGGCAACACGTTTTTTTTTAACGTTACGCTCGTGTACACGTCAGCGTTGTATCTTTAAGTATTTGAGTACTTTACTCCTCTTTGCAGTACAACGCTGATCTTGTTGCACTGTGGTTGAGAGTCGTCCCAGCGGAGGACAGACTGGTCTCAGGGTGATCATTAGGGACTCCTCAGGGTACTGTTCCACTGACGCTCCGGTCTATTCTGGTCCAGTGGTTCTAAAGTTGGTACCGGGTGACAAACTTTTATATGGGATGTCGTTCTTGTGGTCGTCTCCGACACCATTGAGGGATGGGTGGAGTGCCACTTACTAAGAACCAAACCAGGATTTCCCAGTGGTGCCAGGCACCCATGGGGGGGCGGGAGAAAGGAGTCTGGACCAGAGTGTGGCTTCGCAGCGGTCAGGATGTGGATTCCTCCGGGGTTTGGTTTGGAATCTCTCCCGCTCCGACGGCTGGCTAGGATTTTTTGTGCGTGCGTGTGTGCATGCCTGTGTGTAAAGTGAAGTTCTGCAGCACAGACAGATTTTTTATGACCAAAAATCAGGACAAAATAAAATGACTAGCTGTTAGCTTACGATCCAGGTGGCGCTACGACCCGATTAAATTCAGCTCTTCAGTTTCCAGTTTGACTTTTTTGATAAATTTAGTGACTTGTTGGACCTTGCTGACTTAGCGTCTAGATCATTGGTCTCAAACCCTTGGCCCGGGGCCCACTTCTGGCCCGTGACCTGATAATGTATTTATTAATTTTAATATATATTTTTCAATATTACAATGTTGGTTAGAATTATACACTATTTATTATTTTTCTAAAATATCTAGGTTTTTTTTGTTGTAATCTTTGAACACTGATGTCGCCCTCTAGTGTATTGGTGCTAGTAGTGGCCCTGTGGCTCGTTTGACTTTGAGACATATAGTGACATTCCAGTGAAGAAATCAGCTGGTACTGGTCCAGGACACAGACCCAGTGGACAGTGAACTGATTCACGTGTGGAGGGTCAGTTACGGCCAGTCGAGCATGGACAGAAGTTCTAACAGAAATGACGAGCTGCCGTGGAACCAGACGCTCTGTAAATCCTCTGTAAATAGTCGTAGGACAGGTTTATTTTGCCGAGCGTGTACTTCATCTGTTCTCTGTACTGATGGAGTACTTCATCTTACTTAACGCTGACGTGTGTTTGTTCACGTATCGTCCGGCCTTCTGCCAAGGTTTTTCTGTAAACTTTGATGAAGAGTCAGCTGTGTTTATGATCCACTCATTAGTGTTAAAACCGCTCAGACAGGCGGTGGCGTACGGCTCAAGGCTCGGCGCAGTGTTTATTGTTCTCACCGCTCACAATACCCCACTGATACCTTCAGTAGTTTATTTACCCCTCTGCTCTGTCCCAGGCTGAACTCAGTCTTTCAGATCACCTTAATACACGTTGACTTGTTAGCCTCCAGGCTAAATATTAGCCCTGCACGCTACATCCTGACAAGCTAATGTGTGAGGATGAATCTAAGAATGTTACAGATGGATTTCTGGTGACTCAGAATGTTTGTGATATAAAGTTCACTTTTTAATTGAGGTGATAAAGCAGTGATTCCCAACTATCTTTTGGCTCGTGACTTCATTTTAACATCAACAAATTTCTGAGCAGCGGCCAATTGTGTAGTCACGTGATCAGCAGCCGTCAATCATGAAAGTGTAAGAATGCAGTTGTTTAAGGTTTAAATCAATGACTAGACGTTTCAGAATTTGAATTCCAGCTGTCCCCATATAGGGTAGCGTTCCTAAGGTTGAGAAACCCATTTATAAAGATATAAATTAGCGTCTGTGGATTAAAATATTTGATTCTTGTTAAATGGTTTTTTATTTTGTTTAAATCATCTAACATAGTTTAGTCCTAATGTAGCAAAGTAATTTATATTACTATGGAAAGTAACTCGATAATACAATTACATAAGCCACCCCCCCCCCTCCAAAAAAAAAAACTCCCCACATATGTAGTAATCTGGCACTTCCTGATAGAACCCATTCTAAGGTTTGTTGACCTGGTCTCAAACCCACAACCTTTTGCATGACAGAAAAAAAACTCTTCAGATTCCACAGCAGGCTCGGTGTGAACGCGGTGGTGAGTAGTTTAAGTAGCCATCGGTTCTTATCAGTGCCGACCATCTCACTCCCCCGTTCCTGCGTAAACCTCAGGCTCAGACAGGAAAGTGTTTAATGAAGTGTTGCCTGATTTTTTTTTTTTTTTCCTCCCTTTTCTTCCAAGCGTTCATGCCGAGTGTAAACAGCCTGACACTGGACAGGCTGATTACAAGTGGAGCAGATGGTTCTCCACATGAGGCAGTCAGAGGGGAGATAAAAAAAAAATGTAGAGACGGAAAGATTTATGGAGGCGTTCATTCAGACGTGCATTTCACACGTTTGTCAGAGAAGATCCTGAGGACTGGTACCGATGTGCTGTGTCTGACATACGGTAGACGATAACCTCAGACCTGACGACGTGTTTCTGAGAGCTGTGAGGAACGGTTTTTATGGTGAAGGATGAGAAGTTGCTTGATGGATAATGTGGGAAATAAGGAGGTGTTTATGAGAGTCGAGGTGAGAAACGAGAGGAAACTTCTTCATGAAGTCAAGATGAGGCTGATGAGATTTTTGGGGACGTGCGATGAGGAAAAAAAGAAGAAGAAGAAGAAGGAAAAACAGTTGTCTATGACAGGGAGGATAGAGAGGGAAGAGGAGCCGGAGAAGGAAAAGGATTAGATCAGTGTCAGGTCCTGGTTCACAGTGTAGTAGTACTGATTTTGCTTATTTTGATGTTCTTTAGGTCATTGTGTTGCAACCTGTTTTTAAAAAAAGGTGAAAAGTATATGTCATTATATAAATGTTGATCTTCTCAGTTTAAAACCTGGGCCTGTTTAGTTGAACAAGCAGCTGATATACTTGCAGGAATTGAAGAAAGAAACAGAAATATCTTCTTCAAGAGCTCCCGCTCTCACTGTTTAAAAAAAAAAAACACCAATTATTAAATTTGGATTTGATATTACATTTTTTATGACGGCACACCAATGGTCCACGGCACAGAGGTTGGGAGTCAGAATGGTTCCAGGAGAATGGGTTGGTCATCATGTGTTGCTGGGAATGAACCAGATGGACCCAGTCTGCAGATATTCCACTCAGAAAATCAGAGAGAGAAAGACGAACGCGTTTCCATTCAATCTGACTTTTTTGTTCTTGTTTCCTCACTGGATTTCCGGAAGGTTTTAGGTTTTAGTGCGGTGAAAATCCCAGTTAGCTCCTTCAGCAGCGATCGTAACCCTGTACGATTTAATCTGAGACGTGTCGCCTCACAGTCTCTTTAGAATAAATCCAAACATATGAAATCTAACTCTTGACTTTTTTGCGCTGATATCATGAAACAGTTCATGAACTCTGAAAACTCCAACAAACGCACTGCCTTCAGACACGGGGGGAGGAGGGGGGAGTGAACGTGCCGGCTCTTGCTGCAGCTCCTGGTCCGGATGAGTAAATCATTAAACACTTCAGCTGCAGAAAACCCGAAAGGTGCGAGCGTTGATGCCGAGGAGACAGGATTCTGAAAGACGAGCCTCTCTGCTCCGACACGGCCGGCGGCTCGCATCCAAACAAATTTCCTCTTGTTCTTTTATTTGTGCTCTCAGAGAGGGTGGTCACATGTGTCTGCAGGCCAGGGGCGTGTACGAAAACTGAGCACGAGGAAAGACATCTGCTCCTC